ATATAGACAGTTCATAGTCAAAATCAGAAGTCTACCCTATTGATTTTTTTTTTTTAACTTTCACAATTCTTAACATACAGAAACTTGCTTCAAATCCAGAAAGGTCCTTCTTGTTCCTCTCCAGTTCATCCTTTTCTCCCAGTCAACCACAGTTCTGATTTCTATCTCCGCAGATTAGTTTTTCTGTTGTTGAATTTTGCATAAAAGGAATCTTGTAGTATGTTGTCATTTGACTTTTTGTTCAACGTAATGGCTATGAGATTTATGCAAATTGTTGCAAGTATCAGCAGTAGTTCCATTTTAATTGCTGAAAAGAATTCATAGTATGAATTTCTCGCTATGTGCTTATCCATTGTTAGCATAAGCTGGTTTGGCACAAGATGGTACTTCAATTAAATATATATGGAAGTAACAATTTCTGCTTGTCAAACCTGCAGTTCATACTCAGCTTTTGCTAATCATTATATTCAAAGCCAAACCTGACTTTTAATTCTTTGATTTCAAAGGAATGAAAAAGAGGGCATGGGAAAATAAGAAAATTTCTCCAAATCCAAGAAGAAATCACAAGGATGACTTAGGGAAGCTATTTATGAACCAAATTTCTAAACTTCCTTCAGTGTTCTCTGCCTCTAATTATTTCTAGCTCTGTAGATGACTGGCTAAAAGCTATTAAATAATGTTCAGTGTAGGCAATCTAAAGGCTTTAGTTTTTTAAGTGGAACTTGCTTGTTTGGATATTCTGAAAGATGAGTCCGCTTGCAATTTGTGTAACAGTGAAGGCAATGGTATGGATGGAAAAAAAAAGGTGTTCTGAGTCCCTTTCCTTTTACCATGTGACACATACAACAAAAGAGCAGGAAGGAAGGTTGAAGGAAATGATGCAATTTATTTATGATTCCTCATCAAGAACTTACTGTATTCACAGGGAAAGAATACTCTAATTGGTTATTTATGATTACTCCCTCAAAATGTTTAAAACTATTTAGAGAAAATATAGACAAATCTAGTTTGATCTAATTCATTAGGAAACAATAAATATATTTTGATCTAATTACTTAGGTAACCACAGGAAAATTTCAGCTGAGCTTTGCTATATTAAAAATAAGCAACTGGACATTATACAAAGATTATAGAAATTCATTATTGCAAATACTGATCTTATCTAGAAATTAATTTTTGAGCCAGTGACATTAAGATCAAATCTTTTTTTTTTTTTTATAAATTTTATTTTTATATTCCCCCATACAATTGCAAAAGCCCCATTCTGACCCCAATCCTTCCCTTCCCGCCCCCACCCCAAAAAGTGTCTCTGGTTCATAGTTTTTTGTTGATTTTGATTTTCACTTTCTTATATTCATTTTCCTGGTCCCTTATTTAAGTTTTCTAGATTCCTGCTATGAGTGAGACCATCCGGTATTTTTCTTTTTCTTTTTGGCTTATTTCACTGAGCATGATCCCTTCCAGCGCCATCCATGTTGCTGCAAATTGCATGTGTTTATCTTTTTTGAATGCTGAGTAATATTCCATGGTATATATGTACTATATCTTCTTGATCCAGTCATCTATTTTTGGGCATTTGAGTTGTTTCCAAAGCTTAGCTATTGTAAACAGTGCTGCTATAAACATAGGGGTGCAGGTGTTCTTTGGAATTGATGTTTCTGTGTCCTTTGGGTAAATACCTAGGAGTGGAATTGCTGGATCATATGGAAGCTCTATGTTTAGCAGGTCCAGAAATCTCCACACAGCTCTCCATAGTGGTTGGACCAGTTTGCACTCCCACCAACAGTGCAGAAGAGTTCCTTTTTCTCCACACCCTCGCCAACATTTGTTGTTGCTAGTTTTTTTAATATGTGCCATTCTCACTGGTGTGAGATGGTATCTCATGGTAGTTTTGATTTGCATTTCCCTGATTACAAGTGATGTTGAACATTTTTTCATATGCCTGTTGGCCATTTACACTTCCTCTTCAGAGAAGTTTCTTTTTAGCTCTTCTGCCCATTTTTTGACTGGATTATTTTCTTTGTTGTTGCTGAGTCTCATCAGCTCTTTGCAGATTTTTGTGATCAGTCCTTTATCATTAGTGTTGGGTGCAAAAATGTTCTCCCAGTTGGTGGGGTTTCTCTTTGTTTTTGTTATTGTCTCTTTTGCTGTGCAGAAGCTCTTTAATTTGATGTAGTCCCAGCTGTTTATCTTTGCCTTCACTATCACTGCTTTGGGTGATGTGTCTGTAAAGATGTAAGATCAAATCTTTAACAGCTTTGTAGTTAGAGTATTTTTTAATGTGTTATTACCATACCATTCCTTGCTTCTCAAGTAAAAATGGGGTGCTGATACTTAGAATTACTAACTCTGAGCCCTTGCTTTCTAGGATTTCCCCAATAGAGCCCATCACCTTTCTGAAGTTGCTATTTCAAAGTAGTAGTTTCCAAACACACCTACATTTGTGTTGCCTAGAAAGCATGACAGGTCTCAGTGATGTACTGAATGAAGAATGAAATCATCCAGTGTAGGCTGGAAGTACTGCTACTGTTGTATTGAGAATATCCCTAACATAAGAAATATCTAGAGCAGAAATCAATTCAATTTGAAAAGTAAAGTTAAAATCAATAGAACACTTTTTACAATGGTGAAAAAATTAGGCATCACAATTTAATCACAGCCGAAGTGCTATATACTGAAATAGAATCTAGTATCAATTAAATTAGATGTGAAATTCCTATTTCTATAAATTTTTGAATTTGCAATATCACTACATCAAATTTTATTTAAAAACTTAAGCTTTAGACATAATGACACTAGAAAGCTAGAACAAGCATTTGTCATGGATAACATTTTTATTTGAATGTTCTGTAAAACTGTCATCACATTTAATACTGTGGGAATGAACCATCACTTAATGTCATTTTGTACCTTTCCAGGATATTTATAAGCCAATGGTCCTTTTGACGAGACTGTATCAAGCAGTGAGTGCTTAAGTTTTCCTACTCCTCTTAAAAAACATGAGGTATGTTTTTTAATCAAAAGTTTGTGGGGCCTCCCTGGTGGCACAAGGAGTTAAGACGCAACCTATGAAGCTATCCACAGCCACTGCAGCACGAGTTCGATCTCCAGCCAGGGAGATACCCACATGGCACAGCAGACCTCTCCTGTCTCGTCCACTTCTCCCCTCAACAGTGTATTTCAGTCATTCCTCCTGTTCTGTTCCCTGCTCTGTCTCTGGTGAATCCTTTCACCCCCTGCACCTCTCGCCTATACCCCAGTTTTTGTATGCATAAATAATCTTTAAAAAAAAAAAACTTTGTGAATATTTGTTTTAGCAGAAACATAGAGTAACTGGGATTTTTTTTTTCAATTCTTGGAATACAATGAATTAAAACCAGGTATTCATGTTGGGTACAACCAAGGAGTCTTTCATCTGAGCTAGTGCATTTTGATACTTCTGTTCAGGACAAAGGCTCCACCATGCATCTATCTGCTCAGAAAACCAGTCTGTGACTGTCCAGTTTTTTGCAATGAAATGCTGTCTGGAGTTTCCAGGAAGAAAGCACGTGGAATCATTGAATAATGTGATCACAGGTAAGCAAGTGAGGCTGTCCCCCCGTCATGTCATGTACGAGCTCCCCTGCCCACCAAGATCAGCTGCCCCATCTCCTCTTCCCCATGCCATGTGAGTCACCACATTTAAAAAGATAAGGTCAAGAATGTACACACTTTATCGGCCATAGGAACACACAAATGGACACTTTTCCATTATGCTGGACTCTGGAATGAGAGCTCTAGGAAGTGAGTGTAGCATGAACTCATTCCTTCCGCCTCAGCAGACAGATGGATAGAGACATGCCCGTTTGTTTCCAGTCTTTTGTCTTCAGAGCGTTTTTGGCATTTCCTTCAGGAAACTGGAGGTTGTGACCTAAGGTTTCCTCAGTGAACATGCTTCTGTTTCCCACAGTTAACCTTACCCAGAAATGACATCTACTTTATTAGGTAACGTTTATCTTCATGTCCCAACTGTGTCCTGTGCAGAGTTAATGACATTTGAAAGCACAAACTCTGAAAGTGACAATACACTGGAGACCCAAACACACCAAAATATGATTTAATCCCCAATGAAGAAGACAATAAGTCAAAGCAAAAATTAACTATTGCAGTCATTCTGTGAGGTTTCAAGGTTTTCTTGCTCTTATTTTATGACTGGAGAAATGAATGACAGTCAAAAGTTTTCAGATAAAAAGACAGGTGCAACTCAACTAAATTATCCAACTTGCTTCTTTATTGATGTTGTATGGTCTCTATCCATAGATCCACTTCCCAAGTATGTTGGTAGAAAGCCAAAAAATGAAAGCTTTCATTAACACGTTGAACTTATTATTGAGTGGCATAATTTAGATTTAGTTGCCTTCTATTTCTTGAAAATCCCATGGTTTTTTTTTTTTTAATTTATTTATGCATATAAGAACTGGGATACAGGCCAGAGGTGTGGGAGGTGAGAGGATTCACCAGAGACAGAGTGGGGAGCAGAACAGGCAGACTGACTGAAATACACTGCTGAGGGAGCAGAGGGCGAGACAGGTGAGGTCTGCTGTCAGGTGAATATCTCCCTGGTCGGAGATCGAACTCGTGCTGCAGTGGCTGCGAAAAGCTTCATAGGTTGCATTTTAATCCCTTGTGCCAGAATTCAAGACAGAATTTTTGTACTTAATTTGATTTGGCTTAAGTGTAATTTTAAACTCAATTACGTTTACTTTTCAGTGTGGTATTTAAAAGTTGGTGGTTTTCATCTCATTCTTTACTACTCTTCAGCGTTAACTTATTGAAGTTTCTCTTCCTGAAAAAGAGCGGTTTCTAAACAAACCACACTTTTTTTTCACAGCGTAGTTTGTCAAGGTAAAACACCTTTAAAGAATAACAGAATCAAGTTGACTTTGATTCTGAAGAGCCACACAATCAAATAGAATATCTGAATAATAATTTTTTAAAAAATGATCTTCACAAAGGACTCTTGAAAAATTCAGTTTATTAGTTTAAACGTTGATAAAGCTATGTGCAAAATGACCACACTTCAGAAACCTATTAAATACTATTTAAAAAAAACAATAAACAAGACGTTTCTTTGTTTAATTGCACTGAAAACCTTACTAAAGACACAGCAAATATATTTTTATTCTTTGTAACATTTATACACATCTTCAATTAACTAATGAACAGCTGTACTGAAAAATTTCTGATGTGTACTATAGTTAAAGTAATGCTTTGAGGGCATAAGAGGGTGGTTTTCTCGTAAGGAATACACATTCAATACTGTTAAAGCACATTCAATACTGTTAACACAGGTTACAAAAATCCAATAAAATGATTTCTGTCAAAAAAAATACATTCAACAATCATGAAAAGTACTTTTAACACAACAAAAACACCATCTTGTCGGTTGAAGTGATTCACACAACACTCTGAAATAAACATCAACAAAAGTGCTGAAGACAGATGGTATATTTGTTAGACAAAATCATTAAGAACATTTCTTTGTTCCATTTTTTTATTAAGGTTTTGTTGGTTTACAAAAGTGATGTTTTTGATAATCGTTTTCTTTTTTTTTTTTTAAACAATATTTGCATCCCCCCTTGGTCTTGCTTTTTTTTTTTTTTATTAACAAACCTTTCTTGGTTTACAAGTCTGGTCTTCATTCTGTTTTTGTTTTTACTCCTAGACACTAAGAGCCCTGGCTGACATCATTTAAATCAACTTGACTTTCTTAGGCAAATTTCTGTGGTAACACATTCCATTGTAAAGATGCAAGAAAAAAACTGACCTAGTAATGTGGAAACTTTGGCCTGAGTGGCTGAAATTTTCTTTACACCTGGGTTGCCTTTTCATCTCCTCAAGGTCTATACTGGACACAGCCTGCTACAGGTGTTGAAGCAACAAACCAATCCACATTTCCAGCTCTGGTGCATGCCAGGAAGTTAAAATATAAAGTAAAAGAATTTTGAGGAGAGGTGTAAAGGTGAAGGGGGGCGGTGGTGGATGTGTAGAGCAAATCTAGACAAGCGAAGAACACAAACACACAGTTCGCAACTGAAGTCAAAGAAACATCTCCAAGTTCCAGAGAGAGTGCTTTCACATGGGCACCAGTCTTTGAGGAGGAGCCAAGGAACCCTTCTGGAGCTTGACAATGCTAGACCTTTGGCTCACTACAAAATCAAAGCTCCAGGGAGGAGGAAATGGATTCCAAGGAGAACCAGATCCCGCCCTTCCCAGTGCATTGTTCACTGCAAGGAACTCCAGTCAGCAACACCCAGGTTCACCAGGCTGCTCTGAACTTAGCCCTTCTCTCCCTCTCTCCAGCTCTGAGCAAACTCCTCCCAGTGGCAGTTGAACCCACAAAAATGCACCCCAAGCATTGGGGTGGTGGGTGGCCATGCAAGGGCACTCCCCTTGGACTGGCAGCCGGCAGTTTTAGGAAGAAGAGTTGACGTTTCCAGAGGACATAATGGTCTCTGGGTTGTCTCCGTCGTCTTTCTGGGGATGCGAGGAATTGTCTGACTTGCTGCGGCTGAATTCCATGCCGGCTATGATGGGCCGCTTGATTTTGCCTGCGGGGTCCCCGCTGGGGCACTTGCAGCAGGACATGATCCTGACGAAGGCCCAGCGCATCTCCTTGTTGGTGAGAGTATAAATGACCGGGTTGCTGCCGGAGTTGAGCACGGCCAACACCAAAAAGTACTCCGCTTTGAAGAGGATGTCACACGTCTTCACCTTGCAGCCCACGTCCAGCAGGAGGAGGATGAACAGGGGCGCCCAGCAGGCGATGAACACACTCAGGACGATGATCACGGTCTTAAGCAGCGCCAGGGACTTCTCAGAGCTGCGGCTGGCCTTGGTAATGTTCTTGCGGAAGGTCAGACGGCGGCTCCGAGTCCTGACCATGGAGTAAATCCTGCAGTAGAGAATGACAATGGACAGCAGAAGCAGAGTGAAGACCGTGGTGCAGAAGAGGATATAGTGCTTGTGGTACAGGGGCAGCACTGTGGAGCAGCTGGCCAGCGCGGTGATGCAATTCCAGCCCATGATGGGCAGGCCGCCCAGGATGAGCGAGATGACCCAGCAGGCACTGATCAGCAGGAAGGAGCGGAAGCTGTTGCTCCCATTGTGAAGTTTCATCTTCAGCATGGTGATGTAGCGCTCAATGGCGATGGCCAGGAGGCTGAACACCGAGGCAGACAAGGCCACAAACATACTCCCCTCTCGCAGAAACCACTGGGCTGGGGTGAGCTTGTAGGTGGTGGCCCCTGACAAAAGCAGGTTGGCAGTGTAGGCTACTCCGGCCAGCAGATCTGACAGGGCCAGGTTGCCAATGAAATAGTACATGGGTCGGTGGAACTTCTTGGTTTTCCAAATAGTCAGCAAAACAAAGATGTTCTCCAGGATGATAAAGCAGCAGATGACAATGAACACCACTGAGGTTGGTTTAATGCCGTTATCCTTGTCTGGGCCCATGTTCAGCTTGCCCGTGTAGTTGTAATGCCGGACAATGATGTCATAGTTGACATAGTCGGAGACAGGGCTGCGAAGGGCTTTGACCAGCGGGATGCTGGTCGACCCCATGGTGCGCGGTTTCTTCAGACGAGCGCTAGAGGGCGATCTCGGGTAGGTCAGTGAGCGAGCCAGGCTTTTGGTGGCGCTTTGGACGTGAGAGGGCCAGGGAGACCACAACCTTTAACAAGTCACAAAGGGTAGAAACGTCAGGGGGGAAAAGCCACAGCACCCCGGCACGATTCAGTCTAGCTCTAAGGCATTGCTCTAGTTTTGTTGTTCATGCTGTATTTATTTATTTTTAAGGAAACTTGGGTATAGCCAAGTTTCCTTTCTCACAAGCCAGAGCAAGAAAATATCCATGGTACTTAGTGAAAACCATTCATAAGAGGTTGCAAGAAATGGGATTTTTAAAAATTAAAGTCTCATTTTTTACCAATAAATAAACAAACAAACAAACAAATAAATAAATAAATAAAAAGAAGGGGTAAGAGAGAGAAGATAAAAAGAAGAATTTGCCCTGGAGCTGAAAACTCCATTTCCACAGGGTGAAAATGTTCCCACTCAAAAGCAAATGGGAAGCCTAGAGAAACTCACTCTTACCTAAGTCCATTCTCGCCCCAAATTTCCAGCTGGGGGAATCCTCGGAAGCCTTTAACTAGCTCAGAGGCGTCTCAGCACCAGCTCAAAGTTCTTAACTCAACCGCGGGTTTGAGGGCGTAGACGCACAACTTCAGCCCAATACCACCACCACTGCCCCAGCTGATCAGGAGGTGAGAACCACCTCCTCCTCCTTGCTATGTAAGAAATTACATGTGAGCGACAATTCACTTCACATCGTATTTCTTTGAGCTCTATTAATAACTCTCTAGAAGCAGGTGTGCTTAGGGTCCAAGGGCGCAGCGCGGTGTGGGCAGCCAACCCTTGGGGCTGTGCGGTAAACAGGAAAGCTACGCGCCTCCATGAAGCAACTGCCTTTTCTTTTCTTTTTTCTTTTCTTTTCTTTTTCTTTCTTTTTTTTTCCCCTGCTCCCAAGCCAGAGCAAGAAAATATAAAAGGTACTGAGTGAAAACCATTCACAAGAGATTGCAATAAATCCCAGAAGTTTGGTCCATTCTCTGCATAAGTATTTTTAATTCCTTTTGGGAAGAGCCCAAACACACAGACAGAAAAAAAGAGAAGCTCCACTACAAAAAGAGTAATTAACACTACATGTGTGATCATACATGCCTCCACATTCCTCCTTCCGACTGCAAAAAACCCTCCAGAAACTGCACAGAGGATGTCTGCTGAATTGCTAAACTTGCACCAGTTGTTTTATGCCCTGCCCTCCCCCCCAAACTGTGGCCTCTTCTCGTAACTAGAAAGTGTGAAGAAACTAAACATGGCATTGGATAGCAGCTTGCTTTTAAGTCGTTTAAATGTCTCAAGGTACAGCAGCCGTGTGATCCAAGTGGAGCAACGCAGGCTGGAGACATCCCAGCGGGAACAGCAGCTCCGCGACCACCCCGGCCCCAGCCCAGCGCCTGCTGCAGCGCAAGTTAAAACACTTACCCCCACCTCGGATAGTCTTTGTCCATACAATTTCCAAAAATAAGCGCCTTCCCTCCCTGCCCTCCGACCAACCGCAGCTTCCACTGCCTCCCACCCCCGAGTCGCTTCCACAATTGGGACTTAACCCTTTTGCAGCTCCATAAATCCCAAGTGGCCCAGGCACAGCGCGCCCTGTGGGGCAGCTCAGGAGTCCAGAGAGAAACGTTTTTTCAGCACCCTGAGATGGGTGTTTTCTAAGTTTCTCTTGGTAGTTCGTTGTACTTCGTTCCGGTTCAAAATTCCCTTCTGCCACCGAAACCCTCCCACAGCGGAGCTCCCCAACACCCCAAACCCTGGCAACGCGCGCGGTCCCCTACCTCGCTCAGGCCGGGCGAAGCTGTGTTTTCAGGGCTCCGGGTCTGCACTGTGCGCTCGGCATCTTGCTGCTGCAGGGAACTGATTGCGTCGCTCTTTGCAAACTTTTTCGTGTCGGGGTCTCCTCCCTCCTCGGCCACAGACTCCAATAGCCGGGTCCCCTCGCCGCTGTGCACGCCGGCCGGCGAGCTGGGGTCGCCAAGCGCCCAGCCAAGGCTGGGTGGCTTCTTTAGGAAGGGACTGGCAGGGGTTAATTCTTGAACCCCCCCCTTACGCGCTCCGACAGGGGCTGGAGGCCCCCGGATCTCCTGCTGAGACTCTTCGTCCTGGAAAGATCTGGGGCACAAGAAAAAAAAAAAGCCCCTCCTCCCAGCAGCAATTGAAAAAGAAAAAAAAAAAAAAAAATAAGGGGCGGCGCCTGATGCCCCGTGGAGGAGTCTAATGTATAAATCACAGCCGTCTCCTTGCTCTCCGCTGTTCCCGGGCGGTGTAGACGATTCTCCAGGTCTTGGAAGAGCGAGTTGGTGGCGAGCTTTGGGAAACTTTTCTCCTGAAAAGTCTAAGTAAGCAGAGGAGGAAGCATTGTCGCGGGGCACACCTCCCTGGTCCCCCACCCCCCAGCCCTTAGGGGACAGGAATCCAGAGATTGTGGCTGAGTGCCCCGAGGACGCTTCGGCGCAGCAAGGAAATGCTAAGGGGTGGCCCAGCACGTTGGGTCCCTCTCTGGGGAGCCAAGGCCGAGGAGGGGCAGCGAGAGGTATGAGGAGGTGAGCTGCGCAGGGAGCATGGCCTGGGAGGTTCCTCCACCTCTCCACCCTTGCCTCCAGGCCCAACCCCCACCCGCTGCTGCGGCGAAACTTGCCATCTGACCCGCAGAAAGTGGCTTTTCTGCACGCACAATGCAGTGGGCCAGCGCTGGGGAGGTGCTGGACGGGGATTACCCTCGCGGAACGCGGCGCAAAGTTAAGTCATGTGTCCCAGATACTTACCAGTGGTGAGGTCTTTAAGTAGGTGGGCAGCTGCCGGGGCCCCAGAGTTTTCAAAAACTTGGGGGGTGAGAGGGAGGGCTGAGCAGTTTTCAAAGGGGAAGAGCCGTCAGGCAGGAGACCAGGCTCTGGACAGCATTGTCCAGCGGGGGGCCGGCGCCCCTAGCTCCCTTTCTGCTTGCAAGACAGCTCAAAGGGCCCCAAATATAAATGCTCGCCCACTCTTTCCTTTCGCTTAGATGTCACTTTAGAATGTGTGACCCAGAGGAGGCCTTGGTCAGCTCTGAGTGACAAGCTCAGGGTGTCTGCCCTGCCCTACTGGTCCTGAGATTTCCACCCAGTGCAGGTCCCCCTGGCTTCCCATCTAAGTAGATGTGAGCCAAACGTCTCCGTTGTGGAGTTTCAATTGGCTGACACACCCTGTACCTGAATGACTCAGAAGGCGACTGAATGAATAAACAAGACCCCTGGCTTCTAAGCTTGTTAAAAAAAAAATCAAGTGACAGTTAATTCACAGCTGCCTGAAAGTTCTCATCAACGGTGATGCACCTGACACATATTCACAAATTCAACAACCGTGAGTGCACACAATGTAGAAACCAGGAGCACACACACAGTATAGAAACTAAGATAACGGCCCTCTCGGTCATACGGTAAGATTGAATGACTCTGAGGATATATTTCGTTAAGAAGGGGAGACCTGTTGAGTCTGCAGAGCACAGCAAAAAGTCAGGACTTGGTAAACTCGCCCCATCTGCTGATGTAGGAGTACTTTAAAGAGAACGGAATTAAAGTGAACTACATACTCTGTCTACAGGAGGTTTGTGATAGATTATCTAATTTAATACTAGTGCTCTGTGAAGCAAGCAGTGTGGATCACTTTATTGATGAGAGCTAGGTCACTGAGCAGTGAGTAGCAGAGCTGGTTTAAAAGTGTCCCTCAGGGCCTCCCCTGGTGGCACAGGCGGTTGAACGGCAGACTGTGAAGCTGTCCGCAGCCTCTGCAGTGCCGGTTCAATCCCTGGCCACAGGCGAGGGTCCCGCATGGCACGACAGACCTCTCCTGTCTTGCCTGCTGCTCCCCTCAGCAGTGTATTTCGTCAGTCTGCCTGTTCTGTTCCCTGCTCTGGCTCTGGTGAATTCTCCCACACTCCCACGCTTCTGACTGTACCCAGTGCTTATATAAATAAATAAATAAATCTTTAAAAAAAAAAAAGTATCCCTCAGCCCAAACTCTGTCAATAAGCAGATAGGGAATAGAATATAGGGAATAGAAATATATGTTCTCCAAGGGAAGCAAAACTCTAGCTATCACATTTTAAATTTGTACTAATTTCTTGACTATGTCTACAAAATGTATGCAAAGAGATGCTAATGAATATCCTTTTAAAACCACTATTTATGCATACAAGAACTGGGGTACAGGCCAGAGGTGGGGGGGTGGGGTGTGAGAGGCTTCATCAGAGACAGAGTGGAGAACAGAACAGGCAGACTGACTGAAAGACACTGCTGAGGGGAGCAGCGGGGAGACAGGAGAGGTCTGCTGCGCCATGTGGGTAGCTCCCTGGTCGGGGATAGAACTTGTGCTGCAATGGCTGCAGGTAGCTTCATAGTGCTGCATCTTAACCCCTTGTGCCACCAGGGAGGCCCCTGGGATAACATCCTTGACTTGAGACTCTACTCTAGCACATAACTACCACACACCTCAAACAACCACGCACTGGGGTTTCTCCCCTGTCAGTTTCACTACTCATTCCCCTTGTTTCTTGTCATTAACCTTAATTAGACTGATTTGGTGTTCAGCACAAAAGGCTTCCACCAACTTGACATGCACACAGTTGGATGGGAGCACACAAGATGGGCTTCATGCTTGTCTAAGGCTATGGCAGGTTTGGGAATCCCACATGCTAGACCTTGTGGATGAGAGCCCAGCACCTCTTTAAATCAGTGTTAATGTCTGTTAAACCTCTAACAGCAATGCCTCAATGTCACATCCTGGGCTACAGTGGAGCCAAATCTTGAATGTTCCTGAGCCACTGCCTCTGGGGGACTCAACCAAGGCAGGGAAAGAGACATATTTCCTAATGCCCCTATGTTGGCTTTGAATTTTTTTTCCATTTTAGACACTATTAATTGAATTTTTCCTTTGACTATTAAGATTTAGCTCTTTTAATCACACTGCTGACCCACCCATATACTTACCCTCCATACACAGATTAAATTTAACTTTTATATTATACCAACTATGGCAGATTTTACTTATAATTTAGCCACATATGTGCTACGCTCTATTTACTTTCATGTATACCTTTTAGTTTTCCCGAAACTTAAATCTTTTTTTCTTTTCCTTTGTCCTTTGTTGAGAGGGGTTCCTGGACCTAATTGCATTGTAGGTTGCCTGGCAAACCCTATTTTTTTTTTAAAGATTTATTTATTTATTTATTTATACAAGCATTGGGTATAGTCAGAAGTGCAGGACGGTGAGAGAATTCGCCAGAGCCAGAGCAGAGAGCAGAACAGGCAGAGTGACGAAGTACACTGCTGAGGGGAGCAGAGGGTGGCAGGAGAGGTCTGCGAGCCATGTGGGACCTTCGCCCGGTGGGCCGGGGATTGAACCGGCACTGCAGAGGCTGCAGGCAGCTTCGCAACCCAGCGCTCAACCGCTGCGCCACCAGGGAAGACCGAGAATCCCTATTTTAACAAGCAATTCTTGGACACCAGCAGAATGTTCAAGAATTCAACTTAATTCAGCTCAATTCTGACACTACCAGGAGAGAGAACCAGATCCCACAGGTTAAGGCTGCAGTCTCCCAAGACTGCCCTGCACTCCAGACACTAGTTATAAACCCAGGCTATTACCTGTGTTTCTGATCAACTGGCTACAGATTAGAGATTTCCAAGATCCCCGCCCCCTCCCCAAGTACCAGTCACAAGCCTAGGTTATTGCCTGTGCTGCCCTTGAACTGGCTATATCAGAGGATCCCACCACACCCCCCTCAGGGTCTATTAATTTACTAGGTGATTCACAGAACTCAGAGAAACATTTTATTTACTAAACCACCAGTTCATTATGAAAAGACATAACTTAATTACTTTGGCATGATTGATTAAATCACCAACCCTTGGCCATTAAACTCACCTTCCAGCCCCTTTCTACTCCCTAGAGGTCTGGAGTGGGATTGAAATTTCCCATCCGCTAATCAAATGTTTGGTTCCCCAGCAACCAACCTTCCTCCTTAGGTGCTTCCAAAAATCACCTCATTCACATAACAGAAGACATCTTTATCTCAACACTTAGGAAATTCACAGGGTTTTAGATGCTGGGAGCCAGGAATTGTGGATGAAGATCAATTATATATATCAGAAATATATATATATATATATTAAAGATTTATTTTTTTTATTTAGACATATAAGAACTGGGGTGTAGGTCAGAGGTGCAGAGGGGAGAGGATTCACCAGAGACAGAGTGGGGAACAGAAAAGGCAGATTTACTGAAATACACTGCTGAGGGGAGCAGCAGACAAGACAGGAGAGGTCTGCTGTGCCATGTGGGTAACTCCCTAGCCAAGGATGGAACTCATGCCACAGTGTCTGGTGATAGCTTCACAGCACTGACTTTAACCCCTGTGCCATCAGGGAGGCCCTGAGAAATATATTTTGCTAACCTGAATGGTCAAATATATATTCATTTTATAAATCATAATGTTGTGCTTAGTTTCATTTATACTTGTTAATAATTCATGCCCATATTCTCAGGCACTCAATACATGAGAAATACATCACACCCATAGGAACATCACTCCTGGTTCTCTGTTGTCCTCTCAAGTCTCAACTGCTGCATGGTTGTCATTCTGAGGTTCCCTTCACTTGTCTCTTGTTTAGAACCCAGTTTCTAGAATGATTTCTTTCTTTTTTTTCTTTTTTCCCCGGGAGAGGTGCAACGTTCCTGGAAGTACTGCAATACCAGGTCAATGCGTGGAGTGGACAGAGCAAGCTCCTGCTCCATCTCCTAGTTCCAAAAATCCATTTAATATATTGTCCTTGGACAGAGGACGTATCAGATATTAAACTGATAAGAACAGATAGTACACTTGATCTTAGCCAAAAGGCCAAGAAGCGATAGAATTTGTTTATTTATGTCTTCATATTAGAATTTCTGGTCAAGGGCATATGGCAGATAAATTTCTTAGGAAGTTGAATATATAAAAATATCTTTATTCTGCCCTAAGTGTTTATTCACTTATGAAATTTTTGGTTGAAAGTTATTTTCATTACAAATTTTTTTTTATTTAAACGATTTTTTTTAAAGATTTATTTATTTATTTATTTATTTATTTTATTATTTATACAAGCACTGGGTACAGTCAGAAGCGCGGGAGGGTGAGAGAATTTACCAGAGCCAGAGCAGGGAGCAGAGCAGGCAGAAGGACCGAAGTACACTGCTGAGGGGAGCAGCGGGCGGCAGGAGAGGTCTGTGCGCCATATGGGACCCTCCTCCAGTGGCCGGGGAGCAGCTGGGCATCGAACCGGTGCTGCAGAGGCTGCGGGCAGCTCCGCAACCCAGTGCTCAACTGCTGCGCCACCGGGGAGGCCCTCATTATAAATTTTTAAGTCATTGTTTCATTGTCTTCTGGTATCCTTTTTATGGGACAATTCTGCTAAGAGTTGTGATGTCAATACATGCATCTAACAATGTGACACTTATATTCCTCCATAAAGAGTGGATTTATTTGTTGCCTCCAGTTGAGCCTGGTAGGACTTTGAAACTATAGGGGGTCTCCCTGGAGGCAGTGGGGGTTAAGTCTTAGCGTTATCACTGCTTCTGCCTGAGTTCGAATCCCAGCCAGGGAGCTACCCACATGGCACAGACCTCTCCTGTCTCACCCACTGCTCCCCTCAGCAGTGTACTTCAGTCAATCCGCCTGTTCTGTTCCCCACTCTGTCTCTGGTGAATCCTCTCACCCACCCACCCCAACAAACTTCTGGCATGTACCCCAGTTCTTGTATGCATCAATAAATAAATCTTTAAAAAAAATAAATCTTTTAAAAAATAGTATGGGAGCGCTGCGTGCATGAGTAGGACTTGTTAACTAGTAGATATCTCTGTAAGAGGATCTGGTTGAGCCACTTCATTGGGGGTCCCCTGTCTGTCAGTATCTTTAGGTTTTTTTCTTCTAGAGTGCTCACTTGTTCAGAGAAAAGGGTTTCCCCTCTCCTTCCTAGAAGACATAAACTTTGTTGTAGCATCCAGGGAGAAGAGCAAAGAGAAGATAGCCTGGGTATCTCGCCATGTAGCGTATAGATGCCCACTTCACACTTTCGTTTTGTACCATGGAGTTTATGGTCAGAGTTAAATCGGTCACCCTGTCTACCCCAAGTCTTTCACTCCCCTGAGCGAAAGGCAGTGTCTCTGTATAGACTCAGGAGAGGTCTTGGTGTGACAGGATGAGGGGTAAGGATGAGTCTAACCGATTCTAAAACAGACTTTCTATTTTCATCTTAACTTTTAACCCCACTTTCAGAAATACCTAAAATCCACAACTTACACACATTTCTGAGGTTCTGTAGAGCAACTCGTCTTACCTCTGGGTTTCCCCCATGACAGCCTTAGTTTTCATTTTCCTCAGATTTACTGGTTAATTCTCCTTCATCCCTTTGCTATTCAGCTTCCACAGTTTTGTTGCTACCATCTCCTGTCTTTTCTTTCTCTTTGCTCATTTGTAAAAAAAAAAAAAATCCCTAATCATTATGTCAGTGAACTGTACTTCTGGAAGGAAGTGAAAGTGTTTAATTTACCATTTCTTACAGAGGTCATTTCTATTTTCTCTTAAACCAATAAATTCTGGCTTCTGCTGTAACCATTCTTCTGAAGTTGCCCTTTCTAAGGACAAAAGTGACTCTCTAACCAGAGCCACAATCCTCTCATGAATTCTCTTTTAGGGGAACATACTGTAATACTTGGCATGCTGACTTCCCTCTTTACTCTGTAAGCAAAGTACTATTAAATAAGCCATTTTAGAGGGCCTTCCTGGTGGCACAGGGGTTAAGTTGCTGCACTATCAAAGCTATCACAGCCACTGCAGCATGAGTTTGATCCCCAGCCAGGGAGGACAGACCTCTCCTGTCTTGCCTGCTGCTCCCCTCAGCAGTGTATTTTGGTCAATCTGCCTGTTCTGCTCCCCACTCTGTCTCTGGTGAATCCTTTCACCCCCTGCACCTCTGGCCTATACCCCAGCTCTTGTATGCATAAATAAATAAAATAAATCTTTAAAATTTTTTTAAAATAAATAACCCATTTTACAGATGAAGAAACTGAGACATGTAAAGTTTAAACAGCCTTTCCAAAGCCCCAACTCTTTCCCACTGTACATATTTCCACTTAAAATGCTATAGTTTCTTGACTTTTCTCATCTATTTCCAGGGCTTTATTTATTACATATGCAGAGAAATCTGAACTGTTCTTGTCCTCTCTGTCTTCCAAGAGTCCAATTCTATATCCAAATATCTATCAGAAACCTCTATTTGCATGTCTTAGGTGCACTTCAAGATCAAAATATCCAAGGGCCAATCATATATGTCATTTTTCACTTTCTCTTCTAAAACAACCCAACCTACTCTTTGTTCTGGAGACGTTGTTCTGCAGACAAGAAGGATGCTCGGAGTCCATTCTGACTGTCCCTTCTCTCTCATTCCTTATGAAAAATCTGCTGCTAAGATTGTTGTCCTCTGGAGGGGCTTCTGAGGTCCTTTTCCCATCATCTGCCACTGTCTTTGTTAGGTCTTTCTTTTTTTTTTAAGATTTATTTTATTTTTATGCATACAAGAGCTGGGGCACAGGCCAGAGATGTGGGGGGTGAGAAGACCCACCAGAGACAGAGTGAGGAACAGAACAGGCAGACTGACTGAAGTACACTGGTGAGGGGAGCAGCAGGCGCGACAGGAGAGGTCTGCTGCTTCATGTGTGTTGCTCCCTGGCTGGCCCAGGATCGAAGGTGCTGCAGTGGCTGCGGTTAGCTTCTTAGGTTGCGTCTTAAACACTTACGCCACCAGGGAGGACCCTCGTTAGGTCTTTATCCTGCATTCCTAAGAGCATCCTTCTAACTGGTCTTAGTTCTAATTGTCCATGTCACTGTCACAGTTGCCTTCCTACACGCCTAAGAACTGTTCATCCTGCTTATGTAGGGTTGAAAGGTATAGCTCCATGTGAGAGGAGTGGTTTCTTACATTATAAATGTGTCCTTAAAGAAACATATCTGTGTTTAAAAGCAATAAACACTTACCAGGAGAAACTAAAAACTTAATATTCCAAACCATTGATGATTAAGTACCAACTAGAAACTAAGGTAAAAACGATTCTGTACTAAGGTGAGACAGTGGATGTTCAATGATTTTTTTATTGAGCACCTACTATGAAAGCAGGAGTTTTTCTTCTACGAACTGGGCTAGCAGATTTTTAAAAGATAAAGTCCTGGATACCATGGCATTTATGCTCCTGTAGAGAAGACACACAGGAATAAAAAAGTAAATAGAGAAGAAAATACCAGAAGGCAAGGAATACAACACTGGTAATAACAGCCTGGCATAGCCTCTTTTTTTTTCAATACACAACACTTTATGGATTTGTGCATCATCCTTGGGCAGGAGCCATGATATTCTTCTCTGTATTGTTCCGATTCTAGTATGTGACCATATGGCAGGGCATGTAGCGTTGACTATTGTAGAGGCCAGGTCAAGCTTCCATGAGTGAATGGCATTGGACACCAGTGCACTGTGGCAGGCTTGGAGGGTCCTGGCACAGCATTGGGAAGGCCAGTAAGGAAAACTAAATTTTCACCCTAGAACTAAGGTCACCCTAGTCTAAGACAAGTTTCCAAACCTCTCTGGGCCTCTAAGGTACTTTCCACTCCTAGAACACAGTTACTTATCTCCCTGGGTTCTGCTTCCCCAAACAGTCTACCATGTTGCCATTTTCTCTCCCATTTAGGGTTTCAAGTGCAAAGCCTGGCTGGATGTTAGAGTGGGTGACTACTGTGAGGTTACCTTGACCCTGAACCTAGCCGAGGTAAAGGACCCACCAGCCCCACTGTAAGGAAACTGAGTTAAAATCTTTTCTTCCATGGAGCCAAGCTCCATTAGTGGCGGAGAGAGCAGCACGTAGCCAGAGCAGAGGCCGGTGGGAGCCCAGAGCAACTCTCAGCAGTGCATTGTGCAACCTCCTAGGGTAATATCATTGTAGTTCTTACAGGCAAAAAGAAAATTTGGAATCTTTGGTGGATTTTGCCGGACTTTAATGCTGAAACGGGACCTTATACATAGGCAGCAGACAGAGCAATTGAGACTCCTCCGCAGAGAGGCAGAACAGCACCTCCACTTCCTGGCCCCCTTCACCTTGCTAAGTACCCACAGCCACAAAACCCTACCTTGTTGAAATGCAAGGTCCATTTGTTGTTTGCTCCATGTCCAAAAGGTGGAAAACATAGCATTCAAAGTATGGGCTATCTGTTGTTTTTGTTTTTTTTTAAATTTTTTGTTAAAGATTTATTTATTTATGCATACAAGAACTGGGGTACAGGTCAGAGGTTTTGGGGGTGGTGGTGAGAGGATTCACCAGAGACAGAGTGAGAAACAAGACAGGCAGACTGACTGAAATACCCTGCTGAGGGGAGCAGTGGGTAAAACAGGAGAGGTCTGCTGTGCCATGTGGGTATCTCCCTGGCCAGGGGTCGAACTCATGCTGCAGTGGCTGCGAACAGCTTCATAGATTGCATCTTAACCCCTTGGCCATGAAGGAGGCCCTGGGCTGTCTGTTGTTTGGAAGGAGAAAAATAGCCTGATTTTACAGTGGGTCTGGTGGGTCCTTTACTTCGACTAGGTTCAACGTCAAGGACCTCACAGAAGCCACTCACTCTAACATTCAATAAGACCACTTTCTCCTATGGGAACCTGGGTTGCTATTTCCTGTCCCATTGTGGGATTACGAGTCTGTAAAGTAACGTGTTACCAAATCCCAAGTATAAAAGACACATTTTAAAAATAGAGGCTGGACAACATGTTTCCTTGAGGAGGTAACAGAAAATTTTATCCACGTAAATTACAAATATTAACATCTCTGCAAATTTGTTAATATCAACATTGTGAAATCCCATTAATCCTTATTACCTGGGAAAGGTCAAATTAGATCAGTGAAACATCTAAATTAGAAAGCATTTAAAACATGAATTCAGCCTGATTCCTTTAAAATCCCCTGGATTACAAAAATGGGGGAAACCAAGGGTAGATCAGGAAATGGCTGTGACCAAATGAAAGGAATGGATCAACACCAGCTCTCCTATGAGTGAATTAAACACCACTTCTCAAGTGCCTAACGGGTCTTAACGTGTTTACTCAGTGCCCCTTAAAATTATTTACACTCTGGGCTTTCCCGGTGGTGCAGAGGTTGAGCGCTGGGTTGCGAAGCTGCCCGCAGCCTCTGCAGCACCGGTTCGATCCCTGGCTGCTCCCCGGCCACTGGAGAAGGGTCCCACATGGCGCGCAGACCTCTCCTGCCGCCCGCTGCTCCCCTCAGCAGTGTACTTCGGTCCTTCTGCCTGCTCTGCTCCCCGCTCTGGCTCTGGTGAATTCTCTCACCCTCCCGCGCTTCTGACTCTACCCAGTGCTTGTATGTATAAATAAATAAATAAATAAATCTTAAAAAAAAATTATTTACACTCAGCCAGTTTAGTAAACTTTGTCCTCACAGGTTATTTTGCCCCCAGTTCATGCTCATTTTCATATATCCTGTTTATATTAAAAAAAAAAAATCTATTTTCTGTGGCAGGAGGGCAGTCGATAATTGAACAGAGAAGCAAAGGGATAAACATATAATGTGACTTGTATACGGTCCCCTCAATTCAGCCAAGGATTTGCAGCCACTGGAGTTTTGTGTCTCTCTCTAAATTCAAACTGCGAACTAGTGAGGAATTGTTGAAGGTTATATGATAATTACTTTTCTGTTATTCTACTTATTTGAGATAAAAGTGTCCCCTTTTAGTATTATAAAGGAAAATAATTAAGGCTTGTTATTTAAATGCACTAAAAATAATTGTATGCTGGTCCCTCAGCTCCGGGCTTTTGAACTTGCCCTTCTCTTAGTCTGGAATATTCTAATTATTCTCAAGTAGCTCACACTCTCATTCAGTCACATCTTAGATCAAATGACATCTCCTTGAAGAGGCAGGCATACCCTGACCACCCCTGTATAAAAATGCACAAATCCTTTCTTTGCTCTATCTCTTTATAGCTACTTATATTTTCTTTATAGCACTTAAATGATCACTCAACCCATCTTTTGTTTGCAAATTGTATTCCTGCCTCCACCAGAGTGCAAACTCCAGGAGTGAGTTGCTTTGCTGGTGGCCTGAGGAGTCCATGGAACAGTAGTCACTGAAATTGAGTCAGCAGAAGTAAAAAGAAATTGCGACTCCCTAGGATGAGTTGCCCTAGGTCCTGTTTGAACAGGTGGACTAACTCCTGGACTGGTGAGTCCTGTCCAAATAATTTGGCCCACCACACTGACCATGAGGTGCCGTGATAAATTTCATCATTTCCTGGAGGGAGAAGGCTGAGAGGCCACATGTGCAATTGGAATACAACCTGTGTATGCCCTGGAGTAGCACAGCCCAGAACAATCTATGACTGCTCTCTTCCTCCTCCCGTCTCATGGACTCGTCCCTTATTTTTTTTTTTAAGATTTATTTTTATTTATTCATTTATTTATTTTTTATTTTTATTTTTTTAGATTTATTTGTACTTATTTAGGCATACAAGAACTGGGGTACAGGCCAGAGGTGAGAGAGGATTCACCAGAGACAGAGTGGGGAGCACAACAAGCAGATCTACTGAAATACACTGCTGAGGGGAGCAGGGGGAGAGAGGTGAGGTCTGCTGCACCATGTGGGTAGCTCCCTGGCTAGGGATTGAACTCATGCTGCGATGGCTGGCAATAGTTTTGGCTTGTGACAGGCTGATAGTGCTGAGACTTAACCCCTTGTGCCACCAGGGAGGCCCAGACTTGGCCTTTAAATACCTGCTTCTAACCCCCTTAGAGGAGCCAGGCTAATTCTCCTTTCCAGCACTGGTTCCTTCTTGCATGAGTTTCTCTAATAAAGCCTTGCCTGGTTCAATTAAACCTAGCAGTCCCGGTGAATTCTTTACTAGAGGGCAAAGGACCTACTCTTCTGGGTTGGTGCTCTGTAGCAAGATATTTGGTTAGTGAATGAATTAAAATCTCACAAAAAGTAATATTTCTTTCTTCTTGAACACCAAATGATGTTTCTATTTATAAAGTGAATATTCTCCAATTTGAAAAAGCTCTGAAGTAAAACCTAGAGCTTTTATAACAGTGTTTATGGACACCCTCAAACTACCACTAACACTGACATGTTACCTAAACAAAAGCGGGTATATGTAAAATTACTATTATATAATTCAGCTGGTTCAGTGGGGGAAAAAAAAATCAGACAAACTGGTTGGTTGTCATTGCATAAAGCAAATAATTATTACATTTTTCACCAATTACTCGGCTTCAGGTTAGACAGCATTGGATTTTTAACTAAAAATCCCAATGGCTCAAAGTTGACTTTTTTCCCTAGTTTTCCTCATTTCCGCTCATATAGTATCTTTCTGTTTCATGAGATTAAGGAAGATTTTTTTTTTCCAAAGATTTATTTATTTATTTGAAGATTTATTTATTTATTTATACAAGCACTGGGTACAGTCAGAAGCGCAGGAGGGTGAGAGAATTCACCAGAGCCAGAGCGGGGAGCAGAGCAGGCAGAAGGACGAAAGTACACTGCTGAGGGGAGCAGCGGGCGGCAGAAGAGGTCTGCGCGCCATGTGGGATCCTCCTCTGGTGATCAGGAGCAGCCGGGGATCGAACTGGCACTGCAGAGGCTGCGGGCAGCTTCGCAACCCAGCGCTCAACCGCTGCGCCACCGGGGAGGCCCCAAGGAAGATTTTTTTTTATATTGTAATCCAATACACAAATAGCCCATATTGCTCATACGATAATGCTAAGGGTATAAAATCACAGGCTTGATTACGCTCATGGTCTAGTAGTGGCCACTGAGAAACGAAAAAATATGCCACCCAAAGTAGTAAGTCCTAGAGCAATGTGTGGTTCCAAGTCTCAGCTGAGCTTGTGTTGTTATGACCCCACGATCTGAGAGTTCTCCTTTCTATAGAGACTACTAGAAAGAGGACTTGGTACCTGAAATTGATCTGTCTGAAACTGACCTTGAACTCGCTGAAACTTCAGTAGAAACAGAAGTGGAACCGAAAAATTCATTTCAAAAGTGCAAGCAGTTTCCTGGAAAATCGGACACAACACGTATAGGTTATTCTTTGATTCCTGAAAAACCATTTGAATAGACCCTTTAGTAATGCAAATAAGAAGTTAAAAATCCCTATCAAGAAATGTGACTTCTTAGAAACTGTGAACTAAGGAATGACACTTCTATTGTCTCAAGTTAAAAATGAACAAAAAATAGCTTACTTAATATCGCCAATTGATTATCATAGACATCTAAGACTCCACTCAGGGAACCCTTAATTTCCCCTCAAAGAAAACGCCTGTGCTCCACAGCCACCCCCACTTCTCAGTAAATAGCATCATTAGTCACCAGGGTCACTCTTGATTGTCCCTTGTCTTGACCACCTCCCT